CAGACTCAAGGATCCTCCGTAAGACACATTTTTAAATGCGTCTTATTAAGGAATCCACTAGGGATACCCGTCCCCCGAGTGCCCGACCAAGACACATTCTCTCCCAACTGCCACGTCAGCACCCCGAAGCTCCTAGGGTCACTTAAGGGAGAAAATCCTAACGAACTCCCTAGTCAGAATCGCCACAAGACACGACGAATGATGCGTGCATCCATACGTGGCTCTGGTGTCTCATGCGACTGAAGCTGACGGCGAATTGTTCAAAAGAACCCGGACCCTATGTACACTTTCGTATGAAGCCTAGTCACGTCAGCACGCGGCCTCGTTCTCGACAGCGACCTCCTCGACCAGGCGTACGAAGCGATCGTTCCTCAGCCGTTTGGTCTCGGCGATCTGGCGCATCACCGAGTCGCCCGAGTTCTCCGCCGACCACCTCCTCCGCCTCGCGACGAAGACTCGGTCCGTCTCGGGAGAGTCCGGCATGACGCAAAAGTGCTCACCGCACGAAAATCGGTCCGATCACGAGGGGCAGGGTTCGATCACGACCCTGGCTCTGACGTCCTTCTCGCCCACGCATCCGTGGATATCCCTCTGGTCGCAGCTCTTCGCTCTGTACTTCTCGTACCGCTTCTTCACCGTTTCATAGGAAGGACCTCTGGGCTTTTTCAGCCTCCTGTTCACGAGGACGTGCACGTCGTAGAGCCACTTCGAGACGGACCTGCGATCTCTCATCGTCTTCCAGGACAACGGCGCTCGACCTCTGGGACCGATGAACGACGCGTACGACTCTCTGCATGCACGACAGGGCAGGGTGTGCTTGAATGATCGAAAGAACGTGAGATAATTGCTCTTGGCGTCCTTGGTCGGACGACGCGGATAATTGAACGTTATGGCGTGCAAGCTGACCCACAGGGGCGGTCCCCAGATGCGTGTAACGATCCCGTTGTCCTGGTTGGACGCACGGGGCATGGTTCGCTACTAACACGACTACATATTTTGTCGGCCCGTCTCATCGGTGGTCCCGATGCGTAGTCCCCATGATTTTTTTGTGTGTTGTAACTCACCGGAACGTACATGGGTCTCAAGGTGCGTGAAGATGAGGCGAGCGAACGACGACGGTACGTAGCGATCGGGAACAGCGCTCTGCGCCTGAAGAAGGCGGACGGCGGGGCGAGTTTCTTGGTGTCCGCGAACTACAGCGTCTGGGACGACAAAGAGGACCGGTTGGCCAACGAGTTGCCGAAGAGCACGAAACAGATCGAGATCTCCCTCTCGTGCGACGATCTGCCGCGCATCTACGAGAGACTCTATGCGGCTATCGGTACGGCGACGGACGGACTCGTCGAGGACGACGTTCCCGAGAGATCGGATGCTACCGGCGTCGGGAGCGATGCCCCTACGACGGCGACGGCGGACGGGGAGACGACGGCCGGGCTAGACGGACCCGTCGAGGGGGGGACAGCAAAGCAGGACGCCGAGGCTCAGGCGGCCGATGGTCCCGCTGAAACAGAGACGCATGGGGATGACACCGTGGCCGATACGACAGATGGGGGCGCTGAGGTGGAGACGACCGCGCAGGACACCGCCACCGATACCGCGGATGGGGGCGGTGATGCGCAGAAAACCGATGCCGGATCCGCAGAGGGGGCTGCTCAGGGGGAGACGGCCGCGCAGGACAGCGCTGCCGAGCCTGCAGATGGGGGTGCTGGGGGGGCGACAGCCACGCAGGACAACGGTGCGCAGAACCTTGCTACGGAGGCTGCGGACGGGGCCACTGATGGCATTGAGAAGGGTGCGCAAGACACCGGTGCCGAGCCCGTAGATGG